TCTCTCTCTCCCCGTCTCTCTCTCACACACACACACCACACGGGGGGTGGGGGGGGATCAGTTTTACACATAGATCTGCTCTGAGGCCAGATGGATGGTTTTTACTCACAACATTTCAAATATATGATTAAATGATGTATGCCTCTTCTAGCATAAAATAAGCTTTTAGTCCTAACACATCTATCTCAAGATGATTTGGGCAGAGTTGGGAGGTGGGTATCAGTAAAATGGAATTATCTTAGAAAGAACACATTTCTAGATCCCAACAACTGACTTTGGACCTAAGAAAATAACAGTATTTGCAATACATGGCCTATGAGCCTATGTATTTCCCTGAGACCACAGGATTAATTACCTGTTGTCATGGCCTCCCCAGCTTGCCTGGGAGGGGATGTCAGTGCTGCTGCCCTCGAAGCTTAGCCTGCTGCCCACGTCAGTGAGCTCTTGTTATTCCTTGAGGGTTAAATGTATACAGTAGCTATGGCTGGGAGTTTAAATTTTCCTTACTATTAAAGGAGTTTCTTTGGGTTTTTGTTTAGTTCACAGTAATAACTGCTATGCAAATTTTGAAAGACCCGTTTTTTACTGTAGGTAATGGAGGAGAAAACAGTAGTTTGATAAAATATAGAAGTTAAATCTGATGGCTTTCCGAAACTAAGTGGCTAATTGAAGATGGCTAATAAATTAGATTGGTCTTCCTGTTTTTGGAAAATATGCCTAAATTCAGGCATAGAATTTTCTCAATGGACCATTTATATGTAACTTCCAATGCTATGTTACTGCATGGCTTAAATATTTTTATTCCTAAGTATATAGCATGACCACATGAATCTGCTAGCTGCTGTTTCTTTTGATTGACTGATTGTTTGATCGATCGATTGATCGATCGATATCTCAAAAGTACAAAGGCTAGGGTGGTGCCTCCATGAACAAAGCACTTGCTATGGAAGTTGGAGGGCCAGACTATAGACCCCCAGCACCCATATAAAAACCAAGGAGATAGGGTGGCCACCTGTTAACCCAGCACTGGGGAGTCAGAAACAAGGGGGTCCGTGAACCTAGCTGGTTAGCTGAATCATCAGGCTCCAAGTTCAGTGAGAGATCCTCTCATGGTTAAATAAAAGAGAAATTGAGGAGGATACCTGTCATCAACCTCCGGTCTCCTTCCATGTTGACACACATGCACACCTATCCACACAGCACCAGCAAACATTACAGAGATTAATACTACACCGTGCACACACACAAAAATAATTTAAGCCATCTATGGTTTATAACTGATAGGATAGATTCATATCAGATGAACAGATAGATCCATCTGTTCAGAGCATGTGCTTCCATTCCAGAGGACCCAAGGTCAGTTCTCAACACCCACTAGGAGCAGCTCATAACTACTTGTGACCCGAGTTCTACACGGATCCATCACCTGTGGCCTCCATGGATACTACACTCACAGTACAAACACGCACACACAATAATTAATAATAATAAGGGCCTAGAGAAATAGCTTAACAGTTAAGAGCTTTTGTTACTCTTGCAGAGGACCTGGGTCCAGATCTCAGCACCCACAAACTATTCATAACTCTAGTTCCGGGGGTACAGTGCATTCTTCTGGTTCCATGGATACTGTGCACATGAGTGGTGCACTTGCATGCAGGTAAAACACTCCTTTGCTTGAAATTTAAATAAACAAAAATTGTTCAGATTTGTAGAAAGTTAGATGTTCCCCTCACTCATCCATTGCTGAACCCCAAAGGTTTAAACTAAGTATATACTCCCAGACCTTTTAAGAGACATAAGCATACATCCGTGAATGTTGACTAGACGTGTATAAGCCACCTGAGATAGACTAGACCATTTAGATGAGACCGTACTCAGTACTCAGGATGTAGCAACCCCACCACTTCTTTGTGAGCCGTAGATATTGGGATTAGTTTACCAAGTCCCTTCAAATGTTTGTCCCAGTAGTCAGAATGGAGAAAGGCTGAGCATTGTACACCACAGTTGGCTACAGCTATGAGAGACAGTGTGACAAAACTCAACTCACCTTAAGTTTTTCAACGAAAATTCACAAGTGACAGTACTGTTGGCCTGAGCGTTACAAATTAGAGGTCCTACCAAGAGAGCCTGGAGTGATACCAACATGCAGTACACTGCACCAACGACTGTGATCACACTTAAGAGCGATGAAAGGAACATCTGGAAAACAAAGCAGGGAGGTTTGCGTGCGTCATTGTATGTCCTCTGTCTGTTTCAAGTTTTCCAGCAGCAGCGTGTAGCACTTACAGTCTTAGTTACTGACTGCAGTTCTCCAGGCAGTCTGTGCTCCTAGGTCTTTTTCTTCCTTATTTGTTGGTATATACATGCATGGTATTTGTACATGTTTGTGTGAGTGTGTTCTGCACGTGCATGTGTGTATGAGGGACAAACCAGAGGTTGATATCTGGTGTCTTCCCATAGTGCTTTTCATTCTCCAACTTATTTTTGAGGCAGTGTCTGTCACTGAACTTGGAGCTGAGTGAACCATTTCACTAAGCTGACTGTCCCTGAGCTCCGGCATCTACCTTTATGCCCCCTCTAACACTGTGGTTTTTAGGCAGGTGCCACCTCACCCAACTTTTATGTGAGCCCTGTGGATCCAAACTCAGATCTTCATGCTTGTACAAGAGACACAGTACTGACTTAGCCATCTCCCTAGCCCTGTGTGGTCCTGAGACAAGAGAGTTCAGTTTAATTAGGTGTGGATTTTTTAAAGAGGCAGAGATCTGGATACCACTGTTGAATTACAGTTGCCAAAAGATAATTGCACTTGTTAATGTCTCTGAAAAATCTCAACTTCTGTATTCCTGGGTTTACGAATTCCTTCTGGCCACTGAAACCTGGGTGTCCCTTCCTGTGGTCTATGGTTCTAACTACACTGAACCTCCACTAGATCTTATCTGCCTACATTTTTATTTCTGGGCTCTTGGCTTCCAACTCTTCCATGCATATTTGGCTGATGGAAGGAGTCAGTGGCCAACATCCTGAAGTAATCAGTCAGCTGCAGAGGCGAGAGAGTGTAACTGCTCAGCTGGACACACTTCCAAGGCAGGGTGGGATGTGCTAACAACCTTGGTCTCTGCCCATCAGATGCAAGTATCCCTTTATTCTCCCAGTCCATTCTGACAATTAAAAGCCATCTCAACTATGTCACATGTCCATACAGAGTAGGAGTGGAGGGTCTAAATATGCCCATAGTTGAGAATACCATGTTGGAGGAAAAATGTGTTCTGAATCCAAGTCACACAAACGATGTGAAATCTGGCATTAAAAAAAAAAAACTTGAATGTTTTGGCTTTTCCCCAAAGAATAATTTCTGTGCTTCACAAAGTTGTTAGTGATTATGATTATTTCAAAATCAAAATGAAAATAAGAAAGCATTTTTCACCAGACAGTGGTGGCACATGCCTTTAATCCCAGCACTTGAGAGGCAGAGGCAGGCGATTTCTGAGTTCGAGGCCAGCCTGGTCTACAGAGTGAGTTCCAGGACTGCCAGGGCTATACAGAGAAAGCCTGTCTCAAAAAAACAAAAAAAAAAGAAAAAGAAAGAAAGAAAGAAGGCATTTTTCTTCCCTTATTAGCTCCTAGAGGATTGTGACAGTATCTCATGTAATCCTTCGAACAACCCTAAAAGAGATCTATTGATATTCTCATTTTTGGAGAAACGTAGGAAGGAAGAGGAGGTTGACAACTTGTTGGGAAACTCATCTAGGAAATATTCATGCTCCCGCTCTTGTCACTTGTCCTTAGCTGGAAGCACACAGTAATGGGAGTTAGGATCAATTGTAAACCTGATTCTCCAACACTACTGTGATTTACACAAGTTACCGAATTTACTCAAGAACTGATGTTACCTCTGACCTGTTACTTCCTGAGTGAGTAGTCATTCAAGTGATTTAACAAAATCTTATCATATTGAGAAACAAAGACAAGGGGAAGGAAGAAAAGATGAAACCGGGAAGGCCATGCTGCCCCCTTCCTGACCTGCCGAGACAAGAGGAGAATTTTATGCCACCTTGGCCTTATCTTGACCCATAAGGCACCAACTGTAACTTGGACACCTGGCTGCCAGCAACTGAAAAGCTTTGCTAAGGGGGATTTTATGACATTGATAGAAGCAGTCAGTCACTATTTAAACAACTAGAACTATTGCTAGCAGCATGAATAATCTTATAGAATGCCTCTGTGTCCTACCCCCTGCTCCCAGCAGCCCTTGCAGATCCTCAGCTTTGAACAGCCCATGCGTTTGCTGAAGCATGACTGAATTATTTTCAAGACTGATGTGAACAAAACAACCTAACTTAAAGCCAGGATCTACATGGAAAGTGCCTCTGTTAAGGATTGGAAAGACAGCTCAGTGATTTAGGGTACATGCTAATCTTCAGAGGACCCAAGTTCAGTTCCCTGTATCCATAGCTCCACATCCTGTATCTCCAGTTCCAGGGAGTCCAGTGCCTTCTTCTGACATCCTTGGGCACTGCACTCACATACACATGCACAGAGAGAAAACGTAATTGGAAAATAACAATAGCTTGGCTGTTCCTACCTCCTTGTATCCTCAAGGAAGACAGAACTTAAGGGATCGGTTTTCATGAAAGGGTACATGCAAACATTTTAATTGAAAGTGGATTTGAGAAAAGTTCAAGCGTTCAGATACTTCTCCAGTTCAAAGAATCAGTAATAAGCCAGGAGGTCTTAAGAACTTGTGAGTATCATGTAGAAGTAAGCTCAAGTCAAACTGCACCAAGGTATGGTAATTTAGGAACAAAAGTGACAGACAAGAGAAACCAAAGTACTGGGAACAAAGACAGACTAAAAACACCGTGGTTAAAGTGATTGTTGTAATTCTATTTTTTTTTAAAGGGGAGGGGGTTTATTCAGGGCAGAGGGCAAAGGTAGGGAGAGAAACGGGAGAAGATGGTGGAGAAAGAGGAGAGAGAGAGAAGTGGAGGCCGGCCATGACCACATGGAGAAAGGGGGAAGGGAAGGGAGGAAGGGCAAGGAGAAGCTAGAGGCAAGAGAGTAAGAGCAATTGTTGTAATTCTAAATAAACAGAATGCCAGAAGCAGGCTCTGTTTTAAGAGCAAAAACAAAAACAAAAAAACAAAAACAAACAAACAACAACAACAAAAAACAGACAAACAGAACCATTTCTGGGGCTAGAGAGATGGCTCAGCAGTTAAGAGTAGTTGCTGTTCTTCCACAGGACCCAGATGCATTCCCCAGCACTCAACCATCAGCTCATAACCATAACTCTAGCTCTGGGGAATCCAACAACCTCTTCTGACTTCCACAGGCATAGTCATAAATACAGGCAAAACCCATATACATAAAGTAATAATTAAAAAATAAAGCTCACAACCTACCTTTTATGGACAGTATTCCCTTTAGGACAGTGGTTCTTACCCCACCCCCATTGGAATCACCTGGTGCTTTGGAAGAATTATACATGCAGAATCTTGGGGACCACTCAGGTACTTGTGTTTTTGAAATCTCCCTAGATACATATGTGTTCCCATCTGATTGGGAACTATTGATTTAAACCTTTATGCTGAGCTCAGCCCCACGTGTTGATGATGGGTGGGAACTTGTCGTTGGTTTATCTCTGCCTTAGAGAATTAAACCCTCAGTGTCCTGTACATAGCTTACATTGTGTAAGGACTGGAAAATTAGAGGAGTCTGCTGGGTTTAGAAAATACTCAGGATGCTACCCAGTGAATTTTGTTTTTAAAACCATTAGTGGTTTGGTCAATAAGATTTGGCAGGCATGGTGGCACATGCCTTTAATCCCAGCACTCAGGAGACAGAGTCAGGTAGATCTCTGCAAGTTCAGAGCCAGCTTGATCTATATAGTGAATTCTAGGACAGCCAGGGCTACACAGAGAATCTGTCTTAAAATCAAAGAAGAACACCCCCTATCTTGTTAATTATTAATTAAAATAAGCTAAGATCTGACTATTGCACATATTAGGAGTTTTTGAGGGATTAAATATGGTAGGTATTAAAGGTTTCAAAAATAATTGTCTACTTTAAAAACAATCAGTCTGAACTAATTAAGAGTAATTAACCTACTAAACTAACCTTTCTATATACACACACACAAAACAAAACAAAACAAAAACAAAAACCAAAAACAAAAAAAAAAAAAAAACCAACCCTGTGGTTACATTTGCCCTAAGTATTATACAGAACTCAAAACAAGATTTGAAATAGAATACAGTTCTGCATGTGATATGGATTCTCTCTTGAAAAACTTCGAATACTTTAGATGAACCAAAGGTTGAGAAAAGGATCGTAGGCTAGCTCCAAAGCTAAATTTCTATGAGAAAATAAATTTCTATGAGCTCATTTCTATGAGCTCTCCTGTCACCCTTTACATGACTATTCAACCAATCCCAACCACGTTGCCCAAGCAGAGGCCCAGCAGGAGCTGATGAATCGGGCGGGTCAATGTTCTTCCCACCGCTTTGTACTCACCCCGGTTTTATTATTGCAGCACGCTCTTTTTCTTGCTGCCAAGGACATTGTTGTTGCCGGGATGGCCTGGAACGAAAGTTTCAGGAAGGATGAGTACTATCTCTTCTCATCAGATGAAAACTCAGTTGTCATCATCTTCCATTTATTTATTGCCCCTTGGGGGAATTCATGACCCAGAAGAATAAAGAGGAAATCTGATCTGGCTACATCTCTATATCATGAACCTTAACATCAGTTTCAGCCCTAAAGACTGAAAGGGCAAGAGTCGATAGCAGTTATGAAGCCTTCTCCCCACGTTCCTGTTTACCCTGTCAGCTACAGCCTCCTGGATTTTAAGTAGAGTAGGATGGCTTATTAGTGCATGAGTTTTGGGAGGAATCTTAAAGAATTGGTTCTGTCACCCATGTTTTACCTTTTATTATCTGTCTCCCACTCCCTCCACCTTTCTCTCCCCCTGTCATCTCTCCCCTCCCTCTACTCAAGTTACTATAACCTCAGCCATATCTAATTTCCTGTAAATTAAGCAAGTCAATCTGGGAAGAAGGAAATTGACAGTTTTGTTTGCCTGCCTTTGGCAGGGACCCATTCACCACCACTCCCGCTGGTTAATTGCTCTTAATTCTACACCCCAGACTATCAGCATCTTGCCAGAGTTCTCAAGCCTATATTTGAGGATGACTGTTGGTCCCCCATGTTCTTCTCTGCTCCTGTATCCCTAATATGTACTGACCATACTTTACACTGATATGTAGTAGGAATCTTTGGTTTGTTTGTTTGTTTGTACAAACAAGACAAGTCTTGTCTCTTCTAGAACTCACTATGTAGACCAAGCTGGCCTCAAACGCACAGAGATCTGCCTGCCTCTGCCTCTGCCTCCTGAGTGCTAGGATTAAAGGCAGGCAGAAGTTTGGTATATGTTGCATTCTGTGCTGCTGAGGAGAGCTGTAAATGGTATCACATTATTAAGAGTTAGTTTTCTATTTTGAAAAAGACATCTACCAGCTATGACTAGAACTCAGTTTTAACTAAGAGTTTTGTATCATTGAACACAGAATATCAGTTGCTTCCTTCTACTTAGGAATTTTTAACTGTGATGGGTGTTTGGCAGTGCATCCATGAACCCTGGAGTGGTTCTCCCACTCTTCTGCTCTGCTAACGTGAGCAGGCTCTGAAACTACATACCAGGTGTTAGAACCTGACATGTTTTGGTCTGTGCCAGACTTGTAACAATTCTCAGATGTACCACTGGTGTATTGTACCACTGTCAAAACACAGCTGGTGGAAGTTTGAGGCACTTGCCTAAGAAAGAAGAGTACAGAGCCACGCTGAACATGAGGTCTCTAAACCACTGCCCCACACTGACCTCAAATTCACAAAGCCACTCACTCTTGGCTCCTGGAACCCCCACACCCTTGCTCATTTCGAGCTCCCTCTAACTAGTCCTTCCCCCCGTTGTCTTCCAAAGCCACATCTACCTGGTTTTTCTAGAACAGATTTTCGTCCCTCACAAGACAGCTTGCCCAGCACACGTCACCCTGTCTAATCGCATGCTGGCCTCATGTCACTTTGTGTCACTGCCAAGCTTGTTTACACACTGAACACTGATACCTTTCCAATTCAGAAGTCACACATACATATGGATGCCTAGCCACCCCTGTGCATAGCTGAAAGCCCAGAAGGAAAGGGAAAAGAAATCTCTGTCATCATGTATACACTAAGCTTTTTTGGTTGTTCCCAGAAGACACTGCTTTCTGATCTTACATAACAAATGAAGAAGAACAGGAACCCGTAAGTATGCACTCCCCACCCCTGTCACCTCATTTTTATAAATAAGGTTTTATTGGAACCCTAACCTATTTGCATATTATCTATGGCTACTTTTGCATTAAAATGATAGAGTTGAGTATTCCTAAACATATTTGAACGTGTGAGATTTTGTGAAATTCAGTCTTGCATCTCTTCTTTTTAGAAATGATTACAGTTCATTCTCCTGGCAGGAGCCCATGCTTTCCTCCAGTTCTAGAAATTGTACATTTTCATAAAAGAAGCCCACAAGAGCCTTAGTTAAACACTGTGACAGAAGCCGAACTTTGGGGAATCCTCTAGGCTCTTCCACGTATGAGAGCAACACACAAAGCCATAGCTCAGCATGCGCATAGAAACTCTGTTTTTGTAAAGGTTTTCCGTACAATCTTCTAATCTGTTTGGCTTACAGTCATTTGTTTTCCACTAAGATTTTAATAACTGGCTTTGAAAAAATCACCCTTATGTAATGGGTAAAATCAATAAAAAAAAATGAGTAAGACCAGGCTTTTAGTTAAATTTATATAAGGTAAAAGAACCTTTCTGTTCATATTTTTCACAAACATTGTAAAATGCTTTTAATGCTTGATCAGAGAACATTCATATTGACATTCCCCCCTCTCCTTAGTAGATAATCTGATAGATAATTAACTACATAATGTTTTACTTGATTACAGTTTCAAAAGATAAAAAGGTTCACCTCTGATTGGGGTTGATTGTAAAGTCATAAAATGAATGACTTCAGAAAGTAATTAGTCATGAGCCACAGAGGTTGTGTCATATGCAGTTTCCTGTAAAATTCCCATTTCTGAAGGGATGCTAACTTGAAATGTAGCAACTGCCCAAAGGTTTTAAGGCCTGACCAAATGCTCAACACACTCAGTGAATTCTTCTTTACAAAGTGTCGGCAGAAGTGACAGTTGGCCGATGTCACAAGGGACATAATTCCCCTCAGAAAAGATGTGATTCATCCTTTTATGTGACGCCAAGAATCATGAAAGTATGCTTGCCTTCAGAGCACTGCTGTTAGCACCTGTTCGCTTGTGGGGCTAACCTCCAGCCTGGGGGTCTATGTATGGAGAGCCATCAGACTTTCCATGAGTTTGATACTCTAATGACCTTTGCTTAATATTTATTGAGGGAAGCAAGATAGGCAAGACAAGGAGTCCAGATTCTCTGAAGTGTTTCTCGGGTGTGTAGACCTTTCTATGACTCAACTTCCTGGTCCTTTCACTTTATAGATTTTTATCTTTGACCTCTGTGGGCCTGAGACAGAGATTGAGGACTATGGTATTTAACTAGCGTGGGCATTAGATAAATCTAGAACTGGGTTTCACACCCATTGTGTGACCTGGCTAATATTCTCAGCCTTCTGTTTTCTAGTATATAAAGTACAAGTGCTAATTGCAGCCCAGATGATTGTAGGGCTGAAACTAGAGACACCCTGTAGGTGTCTGTAGGCTTCCCAGCAGGACATCAACAAATGAATGTGCTATACCTCCTGTCTTTTCTGGTCTGTCTAGTCTCTCCTTTGGCTCCTTGGTTTCTCTAGAAAGAAGAAAGAAAAAAGGAAAAAAAAAGCAAGCCCAAGAGATGTAGATGGGTGCCGTCAGTACCCTGTGCTCTTTAGTATCTGTAGCAGTTCTTTAAAATATTCTCTCCTGTGCTTTTGGCAATGCCAATTCATATCTAGAGATAGATAGCTGAGTTTTTCTAAATGGCCTGTCTCAGCTGTTGCACTGCTAGGAGCTTTGCAGAAACTGCCTGGTTCAGATGCACTCACAGGCTTCTGACTTTCTGACACCAGGTGCAGAGGAGGCTAGCCCTGCTCACCTGCAAAGAGCCTCCTAGAGGATGCAAGTCTGGTGCTCTCCTCTTACTTCACACTGGTCGGCCTGGAAGAGAGCTAGCATGGCAGTGTGAAGGAAATAGCCCAGATTTCCTGTGGCTGTCTCTACCTGGAACAGATAGCTAGATCACTCTTGTTGGCAAAAGCAAAACAGGCATCAACATGTGGGAAGGCTCCTGGAATTGACTACAGTGCCAAGGGGCTCAAATCCAGGGTGTCAGCTAGAGGGCATGGTTTTATATGCTGGGGCCTAATAGGTTTTGTTGCTTAGGGTTTGGGGTTGGTGGTTGGCTGTTTTGGGTTTTTTGGTTGGTTTGTTGGTTGGCTGGAGTTTTGAGACCCAGTGTCATTATGTAACCCAGGTGAGTTTGGACTTAGTATCCTCTGATCTCATCCCCCTCAGAGGTAGGATGACAATTGTATGTCACCACACTCCACTCTAAGAATATTGTTATATAAGCTTAAGGAGAAAATCAGTAGCAGTAAACTGGTCTTCACCGAATAGGTGGGAAACGTACTCAGGGATTAAGAGCACATATTGCTCTCGTGAAGAACCCAGGTTTGGTTCCCAGCACCCATCAGGAGGCTCCCAAGTGCCTTTAACTCCAACTCCAAGGGACTGTATGCCCTCTGCTGGCCTCCACAGTCATTTATGTGCACGCATGCACGGACACACACGTGTATACATTGCATACACACACACACATATATAATACATATACATATATACATGTTTGTGTGTATACACACATATTATAAATTTAGTTACTCAAAGGAGAGCTTTGTTCACTCACAAGCACATAAAGATCCTGGGTGTGGGTAAATTTGAAGAAGAAAAAAAAAGAACAAAATGAGGAGGGGTAGGACATTTCCTCCAATAATTAGATCCAAGAAGAGAGCTCCTCTTTTATGTCCTGACTTTCTCTGACAGTTATTTCTACTTCATTATCTGCAAAACCCTTGTAATAACTCTCTCTCTCTGTCTCTCTGTCTCTCTGTCTGTCTCTGTCTCTGTCTCTCTCTCTCTCTCTCTCTCTCTCTCTCTCTTTCTCTCTCTCTCTCTCTCTCTCTCTCTTTCCGTCTGGCACTAACTGTGCTCACTGTTGTACCACACAAGTGATAGGACAAACAAAAGCAAGCTCCTGGCTGCTGAATTGTCAACTTGAACATCCCAGTCCCATTATACAGACAGCAAACAAGAGCTCAAGGGCAAGTGAGTGAGTGGTGATGATATGTCAGAGGCAGACCTTTAGTCTTTCATAGTCTTCCAGATCTGAAAATTGGGTTCTACAAGTGTGTTCTACCCAAACTGGCTGCATCAGAATCTCTAGGAGCCAATGAGAACCTGACTCTGATGGCTCACTGTTGAGAACACATGAATTCTGCATTGTCCCACCCTGCACCAGATTTCAACAGGTAACACCCATTCACTATCATCAAACTATAAAACTCTGAAGCTTTCTAGGGTCTATGTAACAGTCAAAACAAAAAGCCTTTGAGGTCAGACACTGGCTTAGTTGCTTTCCTATTTCTGTGATAAAACGCCATGACAATGGCCAAGCATCTTAAAAAAGAGGACCAGGATGTCAATCTCTATATCTTAAGGCCAGCTCCCTTGAGAAGCAGGCTCAGCCTCCTGTGCCATCTCCAAGACTGCCCGTGCACAGGAGTGCTTCTCATTCCCAGAGAGCGACTTCCCACTGCTGTCACATTCCCTATACCTAGAAGTCACCATGGGGCAAAGGAAAAGATGTGACAGATTTTAAAATACCCCACAGCGTGTGTAAAGCCCCGAGTTCCATCCCCAGCACCATGTTAAAAAGAAGAAAAACTGAAATTTCTTAATGTTAGATAATAAAGTTTGGGGGGCTGGAGAGATAGCTCAGTGGTTAAGAGCACTGACTGCTCTTCCAGAGGTCCTGAGTTCAAGTCCCAGCAACCACATGGTGGCTCACAACCACCCATAATGAGATTTGATGCCTTCTTCTGGTGTGTCTGAAGACAGCTATAGTGTACTCATAAGTAAAATAAATAAATCTTTTTTTAAAATTACCCTTAAATAATAAAGTTCAGAAGTATCATCTTACCTGTGAAGAAATGCTGTAGGTAACAAATTAATCTACTTCTGTCAACTTCTTGCCTTAAAGTCCCTAAGATGGACCATAGTTTTCTTTACGTAAATTATCATCTTCACAATGTAACAGAATAAATCGATGGTAAACTACATTCCTAACTGTATCCTATAAAGACATAGTTAAGTGCAAGGCTGAAAATCATAGTTTAGACACCCTTCTCCAAGTCAGTTCACGTAGGTACTACTCACCATCACACCTGCTCCTATAATTCCCGGGAACCACCACTCATAGCAGGAGATGGGGTTTTGAGAAATCGAGTCTGCCTCCACTAAGCTGATACCCAGAGGTATACAATTAATAACCACTCCTAACAGGATCAGAATGAGCAGGCTGAAGCCATTGCAGGATGTCCACCCTTCACAGCACGTCATGGTTTTCCTGGTTCAGTTAGAAACCTCCTTGAAGTGGCTGGGCTCCTGTGTCTCTGCCTGGCTTTTTATCCCAATGTTCTGGTTAAAGTTTAGCGCTTATGAAAAATGAGTTGTGGAAAGCAGTTCAGAGTCCAGTAGGGCAGGATGTTATTATGAGGATTATGACGGGAACCAATGATCATATGATGATAGGATGAAGGGAAACAGATAGAAAAAAAATCTATAGTTGCTGTGTGGTGAATTTACACATAAATATAGGTGAGTAAAAACTGATTAAAAATAGGCTTGTGTAGCATAACTCCTAAAATATTCCTTTACTGATGTGCCTTGTAAAAAGTAGGACAAAAAGTATATCCAATTAGAATAAACTATGTTTCATATGTCGATATTATTGGATAATATAAGGATAATATATAAAGTATCCTTATTTTGGAGTTATTAATAGTAAGAATATGAACACTGGATAAGAGTAGGGAAAAATTCTCCTTTGCAAATATTCCTGATTACTCTACATATTAGTGTTTCATTTCAGGCTGTTGTCTCACATGTAGCATTTTTAATCCTGAATTTTTCCAGTCTTGTAAAGTAGGTCCTTTGTACACAGCCCACCTACAACATCTGGGAGGTGTGGCTAATGGCATCAGAAGGAAAGTGATCAAATATGAACACTATGATAAAAGCAACGGTAGAGAGACTGGACGGGAGACAATGCTGTTTTACCTGAACCATGCACCACAGTTTGTTTATTTGTTTGTTTGTGTGTTTCTGTTTTTTTTCTAGACTGTGGCTCTATTCTCTCGCCTACTAGCTTGTGAGTCCTTCATGGAAAGACTCAATCAGTTAGAAGAAGCTTCACATACAAAAATGCTTGTTCATACTGAGTGGTCACCATAGCCCATAGGGGGCTGCACCTGATGGTGGGTCCCCAAGAGGCGTGGATAAGCGTCAGCAGCATCTGAACCCAGGCTCCCACAAATACGAAGGCCAGGTTTTAAAATGCAGCTGCTCTCATTAGTGCCTGAACTTGCCTGCTGCTCTTCTGTTCACTTGCTGGAAGATGAGTCATTGGGCTGGTTAGATTCAAATGAGTCCATCCCAAAGAACACTCACACACCAGCCATCTCTGTCTAGAACACCCTCCTCCTGTTCCCAGAACACAGATTCCACAGATACTCCCGCATATGACGATGGAGCACAGACGTGGAGTCTGCTGGATTTACTGGGGGTTGGGTGAGAACCATGTGCGCGTGAGAGGGGCTGGCTTAAGGGACCTCCCACTGGCTTGCTATATCTTGATTTTTTTACCTTACAAAGGGCAACTGCAGTCCTGTCCTGTAATCTCACAATATCTCACCCTTTCCTACTCTTTGATTTTCTGGGTTTCTTTTTTTGATTGTTTGGTTGGTTGGTTTTTGGGTTTTGGTGGTTGTTTTGTTTTGTTTTGTTTTGTTTTGTTTTGTTTCTGCAACCAAAGGAGCTAAAACCAAAAGGCTATTTACTAAAACCAGTTATTGGAAAGTACACTAATTATTTGGCACGTGGCATGACAAAACCAGAGAAAGTCCAGATGTTCAAAAGAAAGGAGTTTATCCAGATGGGCTGGGAACCAGTGTTCCTTTGGGCTGTGAAAATGGTTAGAATGTGACAAAGGGGTGATGAGAAAAAAACATCCTTGTAACCATATGAGCCACTCACCAAAGAGGGAGAAAAAATGAAAATTCTTGTGTCTGTGTTAAGTGAGAAGAGCTGCAGCTGCAGGATTCTGTGTGTAACATTGTTGGAAAGGTCAGAGGAAGGCTAGGGGCTTTGCCTGCCTGCAGGAAGCCTCCCTAGGACGTGACTACTGAGCTACCCAGGGGGAGCATCTGCTCCTGGAACAGTCATGTCCAAACACTGATTTAGGTGCAGATCAGGAGGCCGCTGCCTCTGGTTTCATAGTGCATAACCCACACTCCAGGCTGGAGACAGAACCTGGGAACACTACCTGGGTCACTACTGTCCTTACAACTGCATCTTAAGGTCTGTCTAACTGTCATTGGAACCATGAAACACAGAAGACTCAGTGTCTACCGTGGTCCTTCTCAACCACAGTAGACAGAGAACAAGAAGATAGACTTTAGTTTGTACTGCTTTGTGTATCACATAAAGGTCCATCTAGGCATTGCATATCCAGATTTCAGACGCAGATGACCCTGGGGAAAATATCACTTTGCTTATAGAAAGGATAACTGGAAAGACACTGAAATGGATAACAAACATGACAGCTACAGCTATCTTATTCAAGTGTATGGAGAAAACTTTTTAGGTTATCTAGGTTACAACATCAGATTGTTTGAAAACAGATTGAACCACGTTTATGTTTGTGTCTAGAGTGGCATGTAATATTTTTAAAGTAAGTTAGGGCTCTCTGGCTCCTGCTATCTTCTCAACCTTCTGACACTGAAGCTCCTTCCCACATCAAGGGTTCACAGGATGACAAGCCAGGTCTTACCCATGTAGTCTACTGCCTGACCGGTTGAGCTACCCCAGCAAGAATTCAAGGGCTATAAATAGGTAGTAAAGCTGCCTTAACATGCCTTGATAAAGCATGAGTTATCTATGACACACATAGCACACAGGTAGCCACTGATATATTGATATATAAATATATATTTATGAATTTTCCTCTCATGTTAATTCATCTCCACACTTAACACATTGACACTATCCACTTACAGCTAAGTAAGAGCATGTGACTACTTCAAACCAATGGAAAGAGAGAGAAAGAAAACCATGTCACTTTTAAGACAAATTGCTTCGCAAGCACTATGTTATATCTACTTTGTTTTCCACTGTAGACTGGAAACAGAAGTCATGCATTGACCATGTCAATGCCTTCTTCAACCTATGTCCTAAATAAATAAATGGAGAGCCCTTGGCCCACCTAAAACTACCCAGGATGGTTGATATAAAAAAAAAACTTTTATTGGCTCAGTATATGTATATGTTTGTGTCTATTTATTTCAGTACCTTTCATTTCCTTATTATATTCAGTGTCAAACTTTGTCTCTCTTCTTAAACTTTGCTGGAGTTTGCAACCTGTGTTGCCAAAACACCAGTTCCAATAGTCTGCAAAAAAAAATTAAAGACCATGAAACACAATATTTTCCATTGTTTTATTCATAAATTATATTGGGGAAAAGGGAACACTTTAAAGTTAAGACACATGGAGTATACAGCCAATGTAAGCAAATTTATAAGTACATGCATTCCTTGAAAGGTAAATGTTTCAAAATAATAGAATATACTTAAATCGCTTATACTCAGATGAGATCAGTAATGCGAATCGTCTGGACCTTTATGAACTCTGTCCTGTTTTCCTTACAATGCAGATTACAACTGACAGTTCACAGTGGACTGAGGATGAATTTTTAAAATATGAACACAGTATAATGCTCCCTGTATTCATGTTATACATGCAATGTGAATATCAGGAATAGAAGTGAAACCTTCCCTGTGTAAAGGTGGAAGGGCCCTGAGTTCAGTTTTAAGGACTCAGTAGATGCATACGCTATGAAAGGTGAAGTGATCTTAGAGATCCCAAGGTCAACTTCACTGTTTCATCAATAAATGAGCAAACCCAGGGAAGGTGACTTATTTATCCGTGGGTAGGCATGTCCAGCACAGCATAGGCTTATTTTAGTCTTCCGCTTTCTACTCAGATATGTTTCTATTAAGCCCTACGGCTCGATAGGTGAAATGAGAGTGATTGTAGTCCATACAGTCTAAAAATCTAAGTCGGTGAGCCTGGGTCCTACCATCGCCTGCTCAGAGGCCAGGGGGCCAGCAGCCACGCTAACAGCAGCACTGCTTCTTGCAGCCACACTTCTGCTGGCAGCAGCACTTCTGCTGACAACAGCCCTTCCCACAGCCACAGCCACAGGAGCCACAGCCACAGGAGCGGCAGCAGGTACGGCGGCAGCAGCAGACTACCACAGGTCTGCAGCAGCCACAGCAGCCGCAGCAGCTACCACAGCCACAGCCACCACAGCAGCCGCCACAGCAGCCTCCGCAGACCCGGTAGCACCTGCAGGTGGTACAGCTGTTGCAGCCGCCACTGCCACCGCAGCCTCCGCAGCCTCCGCAGCCTCCGCAGCCGCCACAGCCACCGCAGCCTCCGCAGCCTCCGCAGCCTCCGCAGCCACCGCAGCCTCCGCAGCCTCCGCAGCCACCGCAGCCTCCGCAGCCTCCACAGCCTCCACAGCTACCACAGCCTCCGCAGCCTCCACAGCCGCCACAGCTTCCACAGCCACAGCAACCCATGTTGTCAGTAGAGAGGACTCGGATCAAATGAACAGAAGAGCAACTTGAGAGAGGAGAGGATGATCTGGTGCCATCTTCTGCTGAGGGCAGGGCTTATATCCCATCTTGGGGGAGGCATGACCCAAGCACATGATTTCTATTGTTTATCTCAGCTTCCTTGAGAGAATTCTTCAGCACTTCAGGTTTACTTCCTTCTCGGGGATCTTTAACCTCACAAACAGCTTATTTTTAGCTCTGGGTTTATTTGTTTATGTGTTCTGAAAACATATTTACAGTTGGGTTCTGGAATAGTTTGCCTACACACTGCTGTCTACACAACCAAGGAGAGTCTCACTGAAGGAAGTTTTTATTTGAAGCTAGCATGACTGGACTCGTGAGACCAACCCTTTCCCGTGTTTTCCGTGTAGTCACTGACCCTGGCAGAGATGATGTAAAGAAACACTTTTTGAGGACCTGCCAGCCAGAGGCCTCAAAACTAACATCTCCAGAATCTATGGGCACTCAGCCCACATGTGCAATAGCTTGGGTTTGATCCCAGCACTGCCAGGAATAAATAGGCAAGGTTTTTTGGTTTTGTTTTTTAAGAGAGATAGTGAAAGTCACCTCGAAAGTTAATAGAAAGAGGAGTCTTCCAGAATTTCACTGTGATACCTGGCTGGTGCTGTCCTATCAGCCATGTGAAGTCTATCTGAACAGATGATGCATATAGACAGCCCTTGGTCCTACATCTCCTGGTCATGAGTGACAGTCGTCCCCTGTGGTGTAGTGCCTTTCTTTGGGATCATAAATGAGACAGTGGGAATAGTAAGAAAACAAAACAGTGTGAGAAGACCTTTGAAATGCACCCACGAATGAATTACAAATAAAGCTTAGTCCCCACCCTTGCAGAAACATACACTGCAGCCATAGCATCTATGTAAGCAAGTACGTCAATGCCCAGTACTAAGCCCTAGCTTAGAGACATTTGTCACAAAGGCAATAGCAGAGGTATTCACACATTGTGACTCTTCAATAATCTGAGACTGGGGGGTGTGGTAGCTGAGTTGTTCAGCCTGCCAGCTCTTTTTTTGTCAAAGCAACCACAGCCAGTTCTCTTGCTGTGGCAGCTAGCTAGCAAAAGGGCTGGCTCTCCCTGCTCTTATACAATCAGGGTTAGCTCCCCTGCACCCATACAACCAGAGCCAGAGCTCCAGCACTGCCTCCAGCTAGAGGAGGGGGCCAGCTCTCCTGCAAGCACACCCTCAAGGCCAACTCTCCCATGCTCATACTACTAGGGCCAGCTCTACTGTGCTGCCCAGGCTTGGTGTGGGACCTGCTCTCCCAAGTGCTGCAGCCGGGGAGGGACAGGGCCTTCTCTCTCACTCATGCCCTGAGGGCCAGCTCTTTCAAGCTGCCAAGGCAAAGGGTGGGCCTGATCTCTGGTGCCCAACTACCAAAATCGATGAGGTTCAGGGAAATTCTTAAACCCTTGAACATCGAGATGGCTCCAGGAGGAAGCCCAGACCTGGGACATCTGCATGGCCTCCGGTGGTAACATTGATACAGATCCTACTGCAGGGCCACGGAGCTAGACATGGCCAAGACCTAACCATCCTCAGGTGGCAGCACAGGCTACTCACATCAGGCTGACTGTCACCATGTTCTCTTGTCTCCAGTTCCTCCTCTCTTCAGAGTGCACACACCGTTCCTCACAGCTCCCTGCACAGGCACTCAGAGCACAGCACATGATACCACTCTCACCTGCTCAGCTACAGAGCCCAGCCTGCTGTGTGACAGAAAGATTTAAAGGTGAGGAGAGACAGGTGACCCTGTCAAGTCCTTCTTAAAGCATGAGTAGTATCTGACTGTTTGTAGCGAGCAGTGGCCAGAGTGTATCCATCCATCTGCCCGCTACTGCGGACATTTTCTTCGTGCTTCTGGGGTGCTGCAGTGTTTACGTAGAGACCAGAGCTGCTGCACACCAGCACTGAACAGCGCTTTGAACATGAAACGAGCTGAGATTTTCCTTAGATTTGCTCACATTAAAGTCTGAGTAGGGCACTACAAAGCAGGTCATTGATTCTTTACTTGGCAGGAAATGGACACTTAATTTGTGAATATTTTTGCCTTTATAACGTTTTTGAAAATATATATTTTGTTAAAGAGTGGATAAATATTGTGGATTCACTTAAGTCATTTTATTTTATTTAAAGACCGAGTGTTCAGGGATTAGGGAGACAGCTTGGTGGGTAAAGTGCTTGCCATTCAAACCTAAAGACCTGAGTTTGGCTTCCTAACACTCACATAAAAAATTCCACACAGTAATCTCAGCACTGGGGATGCAGAAACCAGATGCTGACTGAGCAAGAAAGCCACGCCTAAACCAGTGTGCAATATGAGAGACTCTATCTCTCTCATGGAAAGGAAGACATTCGGATGTCAACTTCTGCCCTCCACCTATGCCCACATGGGCAGGTGTACCTGTACACATATGTGCACACACATACACCATGTATACATGTACACACACACAAAAAAAATGAGGTGCTCATTAACAGTAATTTGAACCTTTTATTTTTAACTTTGTATATAATACTGGAGACTTTTTCACGAAATTTTACCTTTTCTATGTGTTTTTTTTTCCTTCTCCCTTTTTAAAGTGGGGCCATTCTCATTACTCTGCCTGTGTCATGCTACACTCTTGAGATCAAGCTAGTCTCCACTCTCAGCCAGAAATGTAAGTGTACATGACCACAGCAAGCTTAAAGAAGGCAACTTTGAGGCATGTGATCAACACTTTCCTTTGTCCTCTTGAAAATATATGCAAACTTTGTATAGTTTTAAATATTAATTTGTTTCGTCAGTTATGTCAAATGATGTTTTGCTGGGGTACACAGGTGAAAGGATATTTTGCTAAAGCAGATACGGGAAAGAATGTTTTGTTGAAGCAAAATATGTTGTGAAAGAACACATGATGTTTGGAAGGAATATAAATGTGACCCTACAGCCAGTGGGAGCATTGGCTTACCTTGCTCTGCCTTGCTAGACTTTGCTGAAGACACACACGTATTGGTTCATCTTACACCAAATTGCTGAGCTTTGCTTGTGGTGACGTCGTAGAGAGAAATTCACCAAAACTTCTCCTGAGGTTCCTGCAGCTTCTGCCGCTTCCAAGGATTCAAGCCAATTGGCAAGCCTCATGGTTTTCTCTGGATTGAACCACAGTTGCTGATTCATGTGTGGTGTCTGCCAGGTAGACTGGCTTGTGTGTGGTGTCTGCTGAGTGGACTGGATTGAGGCTTCTGATTAGTGTTTAGTGTTTGCTATTGGACTGGACTGAGAACAGTGAATCACCCCCAAAGAACTATTTCTTTTTTTTTTTATTTCTTTCTTGTTTGTTTGTTTGTTTTTTGTTTTTCAAGACATGTGTAGCCCTGGCTGTCCTGGAACTCACTCTGTAGACCAGGCTGGCCTCGAACTCAGAAATCTACCTGCCTCTGCCTCCCAAGTGCTGGGATTAAAGGCATGTGCCACCACTGCCCAGCCTAAAGAACTATTTCTAAACAGGTCCATTGTCCCAGCATCCTAATAACCTTTCTTTTCCACTGCCTCTCAAAGAGAAGTTGAACTCATATTAAAATAGGTTATGAAAAGCATACACCAACATGGCAGTGAGCGACCACATGCTACCCAAGATGCTACCCTTCTGCAAAAGAGTGGAAGGCGTGGTCTGGGTAGCTCTAGCCCAGATCTCACCAGAATCCCGCCCACCCATCTTAGAAAAAAAGCCCTGGAAATTGTTCCTCCCTGAATCATTTAAGGCAAGAACAGACTAAGAGGAGGGAGAATGAGTTCTGTAAAAGGCAATATGTGGACTGTTTTTCCTCTTGTTTCTAGGATGCTATAGATAGAATACCATTTGGAGAGGTGTTATTGGGTGTGACATCAAGAGGAATGACATGATGCTTTTTTTAAAAAAAAGTACAGCGTGGTGCACACAAGGGGAGCCCCCCTCCCACATTCAGCTTACGTGAATCCTTTTGGCTTCGTATGTTTTTCCCACTAATGGTTCCCTGAGGGACTAGAAGTGTGTATCTCAGTGGTCAGAGCACTTGTATAGCATGCGGCAAGCCTGATGTTCAATCTACAGTAACACACAGGATCACAGGACAGGTACTCATGGGACAGGTGCCAGAGAGCAAGGGTTAAAAGAACATATGTCCCTCCAGTAGCTGTCCCATGATCCTGTGTTACATTCTTGATTTCCTTTTCTGTGGTCATTGCTTATAGAAAATAAACATGGCTCATTTTAATTTATGAGATTTCAGTCTACATTCAGTGCAAACCTTGCCTTGCACAAATCTACCCTCAGGCTCAACATTAAACATCTTCTTAAGAAAAAAACCCTAATTTTTCATTTATATATATAAACATATACATATATGTACACACACACACACGTATATGTATATGTATATGTATATGTATATGTATATGTATATGTATATGTATATGTATATGTATGTATATCCCCGGGAAACAAATATAGAACTGGATTAGAGTGAAAGGAAAAGCCTAGTGAAGATCTGTCATTTGGCCTCTTGTGGCAGAGCAGGATAAAAACTTTGAGGCAGGGAGGGCGTGGGTTCAAGAGTAGCAATTCTAAGAGCCACTTTTTACCTACCTACTGTGAACATCAATGAGTAAAATAACAGCCAGTCACCTTGACCGTCGCTCAAGAGATTGTTTTCCATGCAACATCTGATCTGTTGAGGTGGAGGGTTTGCTCCGTGCAAGAGGAGGCATGCCCACACGTTCCCACAGCTCAGGACTGACTGTGAACATTTCTACATCATCAAAGAGCAACGCAAGGCTCACTGGTCGGTTTACTTCATCCAGTGAACATTTATTGAGCATCTGCTGTATAGTTGGCACTTGATATCCGTGAGCAAATTCTGTACCTGAAGCTTGCACACTTCATTGCCTGTGGATACTGCTCATAGAAAACAAACACTGCTCAT